TGAACAAAACAGAAACACTAGCTTCTTAACACATGGTCGTGTGTTATCCAATATAAAGCACACGGGCCATGTCTTCAATTTACATGGTTGTGTCTCACTCTTCCTCATAAACATAAATACTAGCCTTCTTAACAGATGGTCATGTGTTATGGGCCATGTCTCCCATATCTTCTTTATTTCAACTCTTTTTCGCCCAAATCTTGGTCCAATCTACTACAATTTGCTTCCAAGTCCCAAAATCATTCAGTAAAAGTGACAAGAACAATTCAACAGTATATGTGATAAAAATCAATCAAAATTAACTCAAATGAAATAGAAAAATATCTATAAAATTCAATTATATCACTCACCAATTAAAGGGATCATGAGATTTGAGAGGAAAAGAAAATTCAATCCTATATTCATCAGACCTTGTGAGAATTAGATAGAGTGGGCACTATCGCCTATCGTTTAGCATTGCCACTTGAGTTAGCCAACATACACAATGTCTTCCATGTGTCAATACTAAAGAAATATCACCTAGATCCATCACATGTACTCCGAGATGAACCTCATCCACTTCAGGATAATTTATTCTATAGTAAGCTTCCAGTACGGGTACTAGATGGCAAAGAGATAATATTATGGTCCAAGGTGATATCCTTAGTGAAGGTACTGTGGCAGCATTATTCAACTAAAGAAGCCACATAGGATCCGGAAGAAGAAATGAATGCCAAGTACACTCATCTATTTGTGACCATTGATAAGTCCAATTTAGAAGACCAAATGCTTTCTAGGGGGGAGAATGTGATAGCTAGAAAATACCCCTGAATTAATTTCTTGTGTTTGATATATATAATTTAGCCTTTATATGTGTTTGAAAATATATAATAAAGTAAAGAATATAGTTTAGAGCCAAGTGAAAAGAAAAAATGAGAGACATGTAAAGAAGTTTATAATGGCTTGTTATTTGGGCCTTATGGGCTTAATTGGGCCTAAAAGAAAATAATAGGCTCTATTTCAACTTAAATTTAGAGTCAAGAAGAAAAATAATGAACAAGGATGAGGAAGCAAATGGAAGAGTGTGAAAAAATCTAAAATAAGCATGAAGAGGCATGAATATAGAGGAAACCTTTTAGATGAAGTGTCATGATGAAAGGGAGTAACCTTTTAGATGAAATGATACAATAAAAAGTGGCAACTTTTAGATGAAGTAACATAATAAAAAGTGACAATTTTTAGACAAAGTGACATAAGAAAATGTGATAACTTTTAGATGAATGGTATAGTGGAAGGATGCCAACCTTTCTCTCATAGCTCCCCACTTCTATAAATAGGGGATGGAGGAATGGAGGAAGAGACATTGTGGATGGGATAGAAAGAGTGAGAAGCATAGAGGTGAGGGAAGGAGAAATAGTGTGAAGTGTGTGATTTTGTGAGAATATTGTGAGGCTTTTTGGAAAAAAACCTTGAAGAAACTCTTTTAAATTTGTGAGACCAAAGAAAAAGGAATAGAAGAGGAAGAAGGCTCACAGTCAAAACGAGGTTATAAACCGTGAGAAATGTAAGCTTTTTCTTAAGTTTTAAAATTTACTCTCTTTGATATTTTTAGTATTAGTTTTTTAGTATTGTGTTGGATATTTTGAAGAAATAAAATGACCCAAATCTTGCTGGAGCTTTGTTGAAGGAACTCATAAAGCGATATATAAAAATGAAATGTTTGAAATAGACTTGTTTAGGACCAAAGATAAGTGAGTATTATAGATTCATTAGTATATATAGCTTTGAAGTATTTTATGTATTTTCAGTATATAAAATAGTTGTGCAAGTAGTTGCTGTGATATTATGGCTTATATATTTTTAAAAAATATTTTATTTGTACTTTTGTATGTGTTAAGCAAATATTTGTTAAAGTTTTACTTCGATATAAATGTTACTTCACTTTTTGTTTTTAAAATGTGATTTCGGTATGTTTGTATTACTTATTATGGAAATGAATAGTTCGAAAAATACCTACATTATGCTAGGTTTCAGTGTGCCTATACATGGCGTTCCATGTTCGAGTATATTGGCAAGTGATAAGTGTGCATCCATACATGGCATTGTGTATTTGGCTGTAGGGAGGATCAACATGATCTAAATGCCTTGACTATTCCATGTTTGGAGAGTAACAGTGTTTCAAAATACTCTTGTATATTGTTTCGTCTTTGGATATATAGGAAACTAGTGATAAGTATGTGTATTTATGTATAATGTATGGTAAGTTATTGATCCTCCATAATAGTGAAGTATACACCGAAGCAATTGTGAATCTATTTTCTGATTTATGCATTCATTTTCTAATTCATGTATTTATTTTTTAAAAGAGTATATAATATATGTTTTTGTTGTGTGAAAAAAACTATATATTATATGTAGTATGTTGTGATTTCATAATATTATTTACTCGGATATTTTATCTCACCCTTCTCTATCACCCTCCTCCAGATAACAAAAATACTACTGCAGAGTGAACGGTGATATAGAGAAAAGTTTTTTAAAGTAGGCCTTGAAATTAAGGTTATTATTTCGTACGTTTATTTTGTAATGTAAAAAAGAAAATTTAGAATCTTGTATCAATCTATTTATGTTTTACAGTTAGCGTTGTAACACTTTTGCGACTCTATTATGATTAATAAAATTAAATTATTTTAATTAACTTAAATCTATATAATTTAAGTATACTCTAATCATTATCTAATAAAAGTGGATATGGTCCATGATATAAATTGATTGCTAGAATGTACTAATTTAACTAATTCAAATTTCCTAAGTCTTCTTCATTTACTTGTTGCTTAATCTTCTTCTTCTTGTTCTTCTTATTAGTTATTACTTAGTCTTTTTTTTTTTTCTTGTTATTCTTCTTCTTATATAGCCTTCTGCATATTACTTAGTCTTCTTTTTTTATTCTTCTTTTCTTCTTTTCTTCTTCTACTTATTTCTATATAATCTTCTTTTTCGTTTTCCTTTTCTTCTTCCTATTACATATTTAGTCTTAGTAATAAGAGTAAGATATTCTACTTGATAAGTAATAGTAAGTAATAAACAATGAGATTAAGTAATAAGAAGAAGAAAAATGATAAATAAAGGCTAAGTAATAATTATAATAACAAGACTATTGTTCTTAGTAATAATAAGAAGGCTAAGAAGAAACATGTATAGTAATAATCAAAAGATATTACAAATTTAATTTAATAAAATACAATATATTTTTGAAAGATTATATATAAAAGCAAACTACTCACATGTAACACCTACAAAATATAAACATTGTAATAGGACTAAAAACCTTATCCTTCCATTTCACATTTAAATGACAAATAACTATACCCCAACTACAACTGCTTATCCACTCTAACCCCAAAATATAGAAAATGAGATAAATAAAATCTCTTTTATTCAACTACTTTCTATTTATTTTGAGTCTAGTAACATAAAATTTCATCTCCTTTTGGCTGCTGGTATTCCAAGGTAGATGAATTGAACTAAAAGGTAATTCCAAATATATATTACCCATCATCTTACCCAAACCCCAAAAAGAAAAGAGAGAAAGAATGATAAGGAAAAGGAAAGGAAGCAGATTTAATGAATGAATTTGAAACCACATTGAAACAACCTAGAAATAACTAAGAGCCTAAACACAAAGAATTCAATCCTCCACAGAATATACAGAGTATCTACTGCTAGGACTGCAAAATTTGTCATTTTTACTTTTTTCCGCCAAATAGATGATGGAGATGCTTGTAGGTCACAATATAAAATGTAACCTCTATCCCTTTCCCGTTCATTTGATCTTTTCTTTCGAAACTTGGTTTGATCCCAAATTATCACCTGCTGACAGATGAATTTATCTGCTAACCTGTCAGCATCAGTGTCACCGTGCTTCGTGTTCATTAGATGCTCAAGGTGCTTGCGAAACACATCACCAGTCATCATCTCATGTTGCAGCACTGAGGTCTACCCTGGGTTTGCAGTTTCTCCCACAGACATATCATCTGCCTAGGAGACTGGTAATGAGCCGTGTAATAATTTTCTATGCAGCCAAACTGGCAGAACTTCAGGCTGTGTACATAATCCACGGGTTTTGTACTGTTTTTGAATTGCTCCACCCACATTCCCATGCTCACATCTTCCATCTTGAACAGCTGGACAGTGAAATTCATCTTAAGAAAACCATGTAAACATAATAACCTTAAAAGGGGAAGAGAGAAAATCAATTGCTTACCCTCAGTTTATGTTTTTCAAACTCAGATGTAATGTGAAGAGCAATATCAGATGATAAAAGGTAGCCCGGTCCATTTGCATAGGGTGGATAATCTTCCTCTGGCCATTCCTGAAACAACCACCAAATGAATAAAAACGGCAACGACATACTAACATTTGGATTTCTTCACAGAGAACTCACATAATGAAGAATCCAAACGAGGTTGCATATAACTTTGCCAGTTACTTAAATACATAGTCAAAAGCATGCTCACAAGTCCAACAAAATCTAACTGAATTATCTGGACACAGATTGATTCACTTTCCAACCCAAACAATGTCAAAACAAGAGAGAGAGATCCATGCAATTGGATCAGCATTAGAGAGAACAGAGAAGCGATCAATAATTGTTAGCCCATACATTTCGTAAATGAAACAAATATATACTGTTATGAACAAACAAATACAATCACAGAAACAGAAGTGTTCAGTCTCCTCGGTTGGATCTTGTTATGGGTTTACTGGGAAAGAAAATACGGGCTCATTAAGAGAAAACCTTTCAATTTCTATATTATATGAGAGAGAGCCCTTAAATCTCTTAAGCAAGGAAAGTACTCAACTTTTACTAAATTTTCTGCCTACCCTTTATACCTTCATTAACACCTCATATAACATCTTGTCTCCCCTTTCTAAGTATACCCTTTATACCTTCATGAAACCAACAAGGAAAATAGGTCAGATGAACAAAGAGAAATGACCAATAGCTATATCATACCTCATATGTCACTGCCCATTTACCATCACGAAGGGGCTTATGGTAATAATGATGTTCCCAATGTACATGCTCCTACCTTC